TATTGACAATTAATACTCCAAGGAATGGAAGTACCACTATTTAGTCCTCCATTCCCTTACCGATGGGTATTCTTTTGTTCATCATTTTTATTCGCTCCTACGTATTGTGTGGCATAAATGTCTTTCTCGTGTGTCATCACACACTGATGCTGAGGGAAGGTGTTCTCTTTTCGGGTCCACGAGGGGGCGTAGTTTTAAGGGCAAGAACTTCCTAGCGCCATGCACCCCTCCCATCTCTCTCAGTCTGGGAGATTTAATGGTTCAAGTTTCACAGGTGCGGGGAGAAACTAAGAGTCAACCACTCCTGTGGCAGTTCCAAGGAATTCCTTTCATTGGCCCGGGGTCTTAGAGAAGGTGGGGGTTCCTCCCAGGTTAAAAGTCCCCTTCTTCCACACCCCTTCGGACTCCATGTTTGGGTCCCCTTCCACGAACTCTCCCTTCATGGAAGCCGTCTTTCTCTCTCCTGGATTTTCCCTCTGGAGTCCCCTTCCACACTCTCTAGTGGAAGCCTGTCTTCCCCTCCTAAACTCCATTTCTCTTTATTTCCTAACACTCTCGTGGAAGCTGCTTTCCTCTCCTGGATTCCATCTTTCTGGATTCTCTCACTCAGTGTGAGAGTTAGCTGTTTCTTTTTCTCTCCTCCTCCTGTTTCTCTCTCTTTAAATAAATCACTTTCTACAAACGCTTTTGAGTCCTGCATTTACTGAGCACTGTGCAGTCGTCCCCTCTCTCATTCTCGAGAGCGCAGGAGACCAAGAACGTGGAGAAACGTTCACTCAGGGGAGCTGAGAGCACCCTGAACCCCTGTACCTCAATATTACAATGTTAACATTCAGGGCTTCTCACAGGAAAGCGTGGCTTATGAGCCAAAGGGTATGGAGGGTATGGGTCTATTAAATTTCAATAAATGATGCTAAACTGCCCCTTTAGAAAGCCATAATTCCACCAACCATAGTGTATGAGAACACCATGCGTCTCTGCCAACAGTGGGCATTATCACACTTACAGATTCTTTTTTAGTCTAAAGGGTGTAAAGTAATATAGTAACTTTATTTTACATTTCTGTTGCTACTGGAGGATTGGGCATACTTTCATATGTTTATTGATAATGTTAGGTTGGTGCAAAAGTAATTGTGGTTTTTGCCATTACTTTTTTTGTTGTTGAGACAGTCTTGCTCTGTCGCCCAGGCTGGAGTGTAGTGGTGCAATCTTGGGTCACTGCAACCTCCGCTTCCCAGGTTCAAGTGATTCTCTTGCCTCAGCCTCCCGAGTAGCTGGGATTACAGGCATTGGCCACCATGCCTGGCTAACTTTTGTATCTTTAGTAGAGATGGGGTTTCACCATGTTGGCCAGGATAGTCTCGAACTCTTGACTTCAGGTGTTCTGCCTGCTTCAGCCTCCCAAAGTGCTGAGATTACAGGCTTGAGTCACCTTGCCTGGCCTGTTTTTGCCATTACTTTCAATGGCAAAAACCGCAATTACTTTTACACAATCTAATATATATTTGCTCTTCTATTTGTATTATTTTGGCCATTTTTCTGTTGGGTTGTAGTTTTGTTAACCGGGACAACTCTGCAGGCATTCAAACTGTTTCTCTGTCATTTGTTTGCACTTCTCCTTTCTGTTCTTTAACCTTTGTTTATGAAAATATCTTTTGCCAGTGAAGCATTTCAGTCTCTTTCCTAGATTTTGTGTTTCCTGTCTGAACTAGAAAGTTCTCTCAAACCTACAAGTCATACAGTATTGTCTCAAGCTTTGTGGAGAGGGAAATATTGATCACAGGTAAAATCTAGTAAAAGGGAAGAAAGGAAAACATCAAGAAAGTTAATTAGGACATCCAGGAGAAACTATGGCCATCAGCTAGAGTCTTAAGGTGAAAGACAGAAAATAGGTAGGGCGCAGGCAGCAGGTAGAATGGTTTGTCTTCTGTTAACCACAAGAGCGAGGGAGCCAAGGTCCAGATGGAGGTTGCATGTGCAGCTGCCCTCTCTCACAAACTCCTTGCCCGGTTACTCTGGCACCGGTATCCCAACCCCCACAGTTATAGAATTATAGTGAGAGAAACTATGTGGAAATGAGATAACATCAGCAAGAGGAGGGCTCCGTTGTCTGCTGAGCTCTGCACCAGGGGAGGCCTGCCAGGTGATGTGTGGTGGTATCAGGAAGGAGAAGACTAGTGGTCCCCAACCATTTTGGCACTAGGGACTGGTTTCATGGAAAACAATTTTTCCATGGATGGGGTTGGGGGTGTGAAACTGAAACTGTTCCACCTCAGAGCATCAGGCATAAGATTCTCATAAGGAGCGTGCAACCTAGATCCCTACATGCAGTTCACAATAGGGTTCGAGCTCCTATGGGAATCTAATGCAGCTGATCTGACAGGAGGCCGAGCTCAGGCCGTAAAGCTCACCTGCTGCTCACCCTCTGCTGTGCAGCCCTGTTCCTAACAGGCCACAGACAGCTACTGGTCCCTGGCCTGGGGTTGCGGACCCCTGCTGTAGACTATAAACTATACTTAGGGTGTGGAAGGACTCGCTTGAGTCCACCAGCTGGCAGGCAACTCCTGGCTGTTGCTGCTGCTACACACCCAAGTTGGACAGCCCAGGAACTGGGACAAGGGCTTTAAGACGTGGGGCCCCCTCTCTTCCAAGTGTCCTTGGACGGGTCTGAGATCCTGGCCCAGATCTCATTGCCTGACCATCTTGTCAAGGATGGGCCATGCAGTGTGCTGGGACTGGTTGACTGGGAACTGGGAGTCAACCACCTCAGGAGTTTTTTTTCCAGTTAGATTTTAGTCTACCAGGAATGAAGGTTGATATGTGTTGAGGGGTGAGGGGTCCAACTTTATTTTTCTAGACGGACCCACCATTTATTAAAGAAGCTGGGATTTTTGCATAAAATTTAAATACCACCTTTATCATTTATTAAATTTCCATATTAGTTGGGATCTATTTCTTTTTGTTTTTCCATTCTGTTCAGATAATTTGTATGTCTACTCCTGCTATTTGGGGACCAGTCACTTCAGTTACTTTAGAGTGCTAAGTCTGGGCCCCTTGGCTATTCTTTTTTTTTTTTTTTTTTTTGAGATGGAGTCTGGCTCTGTCACCCAGGCTGGAGTGCAGTGGCACAGTCAGTCGAGGGTCACCACAACCTCTGCCTCCTGGGATCAAGTGATTCTCCTGCCTCAGCCTCCAGAGTAGCTGGGATTACAGGTATATGCCACTGTGCCTGGCTAATTTTTGTATTTTTAGTAGAGACGGAGTTTCGCCATGTTGGCCTGGCTGGTCTCAAACTCCTGACCTCAGCTGATCCACTCACTTCGACTTCCCAAAGTGTTGGGATTACAGGCGCGAGCCACCACGCTGGCCCCCTGGCTATTCTTTATTAATGATTTCTTGGTAACTGGATATTTGTTTTGAGAGATATGCCTTTGTACCATTTTGTATGATTCAATTCCATTGGTATTTTATTTAGGATTGTATTAATTATATATTCATTATCATAATCTATTCTCTCTCTCAGAGGATATGTTAATAGTCTTACCATCCAAAGATGTCTTTCAGATCCTGTTTTTTGCCTTTTAACTTGACCTATAGGTTACTTCATACAGGTTCCATATTTAATTGATTCCCAAGTATTTAACAGTTGTGGGTTTTTGGGGGGTATGATGGATGGGATATTTTATCCAATTCATTCTTTATTTTCCTACGGTAATACAGAGAAACACTATGAATTTTTGTGTATTTATTTTTTGTTAGGTCACATACCAAATTCTCTATTAATTCTCATAGACTGTTTTGTCCTCATTAGATTATCTTGGATTTCTAGGTACTTTATTATTATTTTTTATTTTTATGGGTACATAGTAGGTGTATATTCTAGGTACATTATTATATCAGCAGCGGAAAGAAATAATTTTTATCTTCTTTGCAAAATGTATTCTAATGTTTTCATTTTGCCATCCTGTTACATTTGCTGGAATCATGACCATAATATATATATAGTGATAGCAGAAGGCATCCTTGTCAGGTTCCTAATTTTAATGCAAATGGCTTTTTAATGGAGATGGTGCTCTGTCATCCAGGCTGGAGTGCAGTGGTGAATTCTTTGAGCTCGGGGCCTCACACACTCTTCCCTCCTGGGCCTTCCATAGCTCTGGGATTACAGGTGAGTGCCATTGTGCCTACCGCCACCACCCCTCCTCCTGCCTGCCCCCACAGCATCTTTAAAAAAAAAAAAAAAAAAAAACCATTGAGAATGCTCCTTGCCTTAAAAAAACAAAAAACAAAAAAACCCCAACGATCTAGTCTTTAGTTTTTAGCGGTTTCTTTCTATTCTAGTTTTTCTCAGAGTTTTATTCAGATTGGCTGCTGAACTTTTTTTTTTTTGAGACAGAATATTGCTGTTGTTACCCAGACTGGAGTGCAATGGCATGATCTTGACTCACCGCAACCTCCGTCTCCTGGGTTCAAGCAATTCTCCTGCCTCAGCCTCCCGAGTAGCTGGGACTGCAGGCACACGCCACCATGCCCAGCTAATTTTTTGTATTTTTAGTAGAGACGGGGTTTCACCTTGTTGACCAGGAGGGTCTTTGATCTCTTGACCTTGTGATCCACCCCCCTCGGCCTCCCAAAGTCCTGGGATTATAGGTGTGAGCCACCGCGTCCAGCCGGCTGCTGAACTTCATAAGCAGCATTTTCAGCATATATTCAGCTTATCAGGAGGCTTTGTGCTTTCCTTTTATATTGTCCATGTTCCCTTCCTCTGTCCCTCCCTCCCTCTCCTCTCTCCCTCCTTCTCCTCCCTCCCTCCCTCCCTCCCTCCCTCCCTCCCTCCCTCCCTCCTTCCTTCCTTCCTTCCTTCCTTCCTTCCTTCCTTCCTTCCTTCCTTCCTTCCGCTGTTGCACAAAGACTCAAGTACAGTGTTGGAAAGCACTGTGGAGAGCGGCACCATGTTTCCCTCTGATTTTAATGGGGATGTTTCTTATGCTTTCCCACCAGCGAGGATATTAGCAGGAGTTTCATTTTATGTAGCCTTAGCAAATTAAACACGTTTCCTTCCACTCTTGTGTGCTAATTGTTTTTTTAATCAAGATGTTTATTAAATGCTTTTCTTTTTAATAACAGCATGTAACCACCTAGTGGGTTCTTTTTGCCTGCTGTCTAGACAGAGCCAATATCAAGACGGGAACTGCAATAGAGAAAGAGTTAAATTCACCCAGAGCTGGCTCTGCAGGAGACTTGAGTTTTATTAGTACTCAAATCAGTCTCCCTGAAAGCTTGCGGATAGGGGGTTTTAAGCATAATTTGGTGGATAGGGGCGTTAGCAAGTAGGGAGCACTGATTGGTCAGATTGGAGATGAAATCATAGGGAGTCGAAGCTATTCTCTTGTGCTGTGTTAGTTTCTGGGTGTCGAGGCCACAAGACCAAATGAACCAGTTAACTGATCTGGGTGGTGCCAACTGATCCATCAGGTACAGGGTCTGAAAATATTTCAAGCACTGATATTAGGTTTTACAACAGTGAAGTTATCTCCAGGGGCAATTTGGGGAGGTTCATAATCTTGTCGCCTCTAGCTGCTTGACTCCTAAACCTTGACTCTCCCATGCCTCCTCCCTCCCCAACAAAAGCATAAGAGGAAAATCTAACCACCTAGTCAAAGATCATCAATAAACAGTTCCTAGAAAACAAAACAGCTGGGGAAAGAAAAGACTCTGAACATATGCAAGGATGCTCAACTCACCCATGAAAAGATAAAGAAACAGACTGATAACGGGTCCTTTGTGTTGGAAGGATGGAGATGCTTGACTCTTGTGGCTAATTCATTTAGTCCTGCATAGGCAGTCTAGTCTCCAGGCAGGAAGGGGGTTTGTTTTGGGAAAGGGCTGTTACCATCTTTGTTTCAAAATTAAACTATAAACTAAATTCCTCCCAAAGTTAGTTTAGCCTATGCCCAGGAATGAACAAGAACAGCTTGGAGGTTAGAAGCAAGATGGAGTGAGTTAGGTCAGATCTCTTTCACTGTCAGAATTTTCTCAGTTATAATTTTTGCAAAGGCAGCTTCAAGCAGGGAGGATTTCCATGGTTTTCCTCTTTGATCTGTTAATACGGTAAATTATATCAATATATTTTTCCTATGGAAACCTCCTCACAGTGGTGGACTTTAGCCAGATTTTAGGCTACCTGACACCTTCAGGGAAGCTTAAACTTTCTCTCTGAAGTTTTGATAATTGAGTCTGCTGAAACAGACTGACACAGATTAACAGGAGAAGAGGCATACAAATATATTAGCATGCAAGCACATGGGAATCATACAAGTATGAAACTCAAAGAAAAGTCAGACAGTGGAAGCTTAAATACCCTCTTCATATGGGAGAGGAAAGTGGAGGATGTAGACAATTTTAGAGGAAGAGTAAATGATTTTTAAGAACGATGAATGAGCCTGAAGCACAAACAATAGCTGAAGGCAAAGTTCTTCTAGGCTCCAGGAGGGCTGGTGGCTGTAGGAAGGTGAGGGGTGGAAATGCATTGCAAACAAAGGTCGTCTTCTTAGGCAGATAAAGTCTCTTGGTGACACCCCTCAGAACAGATGAAAAGTCTGCTTATGCAGATGATCTTTAATTTCTTCTTCAGTGAGTATCCCTTTTAAATTTGATTTCAAACAGTGGATTGAAGGCAATTGTGTTTCTTTAAAAAAAAACTTCCCTCAGTCAGATAAAGGAACCTCAGAGAGTTCCTTCCTGCACTTGCAGGGAGAAACAAGGGAAGATCAGAGACCTTGATTCTGAGGCAGTTTGGGAGGCCTTGTGATAGTCTTTCATTCAAGGTGCTTGGTGCGCTGAATAGCAATACTTTGGGAGTGTTGTTTCCTAAGCCCAACACACCTGAGCCCTTTCCCCATGTCTGGGGACTCCCCTTCTTACCTATCTGGGTGGGAAACAGCCTGCCTCTAATTATAGAACTGAAAATACCAGTTTCTCACTTTCCCAGCTCCCTTGGCTGCTGGGACAGACATGTGACCAGGTTTAACCAATCAAATTTACATGCTGAGAACTTTCAGTCTATAGCTTGGGATCCAGAGAACAAGGATGGCATGCCCTGTGCTGGTGCTGGGATCCTCAGCAGGCTGATTCTGTGGTATGATGTTTTCCGTGGTTCTGGGTGCATGACTTCTCTTTGATCTGCCTGTTTTCTGAGCCTGGACTTTCTGACAATTTGGTGAGCTACTAAATATTGTTTCAATACACTTATATTCTGCCTAAATAAATATGAATCTGTTTATGTTGTTTGTAGTTAAGATCAATGACTAATATATTTACATTTGTAGAGTAAATCCTACTCATTCAAGCAGTATCTGAAATCACCGTTGAATTCGGTTTGTTAGCATTTATACTTGTGTTCATAAATCAGATTGGCTGATAGTTTTCTCTTCTTGCACTGTTCTAGTCTTATTTTAGTGTTAAGTGGGTGCCAACTTTTGGGAATGTTTTTGGTTAGAAAAATTCCTACAGTAGAATTGCTAGATCAAGGGGTCTGTGTATTTCAGTTTGATGGCTATTGTCAAATTGCTATCCAAAGAAATTTTGCCAGGTTCCATTCTGAGCAACAGCGTATAGCACTGCATGTTCCTCTCCATCCTTCCAACACAAAGGACCCGTTATCAGTCTGTTTCTTTATCTTTTCATGGGTGAGTTGAGCATCCTTGCATATGTTCAGAGTCTTTTCTTTCCCCAGCTATTTTGTTTTCTATGAACTGTCTATTGATGATCTTTGACTAGGTGGTTAGATTTTCCTCTTATGCTTTTTGTTGGGGAGGGAGGAGGCATGGGAGAGTCAAGGTTTAACCTTTTGTCCGCCAGTGACCTGTTGGTCTGGTTTAAACTCAGTTCCTTGATGTTGATTGTAATGGCTGTTGAAACTGGAAGAGACCCTCACAGAGACCTGCAATGCAGAGGGAAGATGGCATGTTGGGCTCTGCCTTCTAACTCAAGGCATTCACTTTCCAGTCGCATCTGACAGTTATGCAAAGATTTTCATTGAAGTCTGGTGGAAAAAATTTCATATTCCTTAATGATAATCAGCTGTACTATAAACCAGTCAGAAGTTGTTGCATTTTTCTATTTCTAACAAATGGGTCCAAAACCAATACAATGATTTTCTAAGGTGAGGAAATTCTATTTCCAAAGTTTTAAGTGTTCAGCTGAGAGAGTTCTTATGAGTGGGCCACATTCCTTTTGGCAACACAATCACATAAAGAAGGAAACATTTCAAAACATCTGTTTTCTAAAAGCATTTCCACGGTATCTTAATTTGGCTGATGAGGAGCTCCCTCTAGGGGAAAGAAAAATATCAACACCAGGGTTTCTTGCTTGTGCATTTCAGCCTAGGGCTTTTTGTGGAAATCTTTTTAATCCCCTTGCCTGTGCTGGTAAGGCTTAGTATTGTTATCACTAGACAGTGTGATCCATAAATGCTTTGTCAGTGCAGCACAGTCACAAATGACCATCTCTCTGCGTGGAAAGCACATATATTGGTCTGTCTCTCTTACCAGAATGTGACCATTATGTGGGGAGGGCTTTGCCTGTTTTATTGTTTTCTTTAAAAAAATGCCAATAACAGTACCTGACACATAGCACAGTTCAATAAGTTTTGAATCAATGAAAAAACCTTTGAATAAAAGTTTTGAGCTAGTGTTGCTTGGAATCCATGACTAGGCTCTGTGACCAAGGGCAGGCATTTGTCTGTGACCTAAGGCTGAGTAGCCTGGGCTGAGGGTGTGGGTGAGGCTTGTTTAACTGGCTTATGCCAAATATATTCATTCAATGCTTATTTATTGAGCACCAGTATGTGCCAGACACTGTTGTAGGGGCTGGGCTCCTAACAGTGAAAAGGGCAGGCAAGATTCCTGAACTTAAGGAACAGTGATATAGAGAATGTTGAGATGGTAATACTTGTTATGGAGAAAAATCAATCAGGCAAGAGAGACAGAGTATTCTGACATGGAGAGGAGGTCTCGATTTTTTCTGTGGTAAGAGAAAACTTCACTAAGACGTGAAGGAGGTTGAGCAGACATCTGGGAGACAGTCAGACATCAAGGCACCAAAGCAGGAACATGGCCAGCATGTTTGAAGAACACGGAGGAGGCTGGTGCGACAGAGCCGAGTAAGGGACAGGGAGAGGGATGGGGGCTGGTGTCAGAAGCATGTGGCCTCCAGATATGAAATCTCTGGAGAGAATGGTTGAAGATTTTCCAGCAGTGAGAAAGGACCTTGTGAGTCAAGGGCAAAGCAGGCCTAGACCTTTCCTGCATCCTTCCCTGCTTCTAAAGGCGATTTTCAGGTTTTCTCTGAAACCATTTTCCTGGAAAGAGTCAGACCATGAAAATGAGGTAACAACACCTGAGGTGCTTCTGCTGCAGAACCACGAGGTGCGAGGTGTTCTAGGCGAGTTTGAGGTACAGAGGGGAGAACCTGCTGGAACGGATTCTGGCTGAACTAAGCCGGTGAGAGAGAGCACTTTGGACCCTGGACGTCAGAGGTGGAGGAAGGGACCATCTGTCTCTTTCAGCTCCTGTCTGCAGGGCACCAGGCCCACTTAACCCAAACCTGTGACTACCACTCTTCATTGAAGAATCTTAATCTAAAAACTCTCAAAACCTCCCAACAGCCAGAAAGAAACAGCCTCCACTGGAGATGACAAAACAAGATTAACCTTTTTGGACACTGATATGATTCCTTTTAGCCTCATTTTGTTGTTGTTAGATTCTTTTGTATTTTTTTTTTTTTTTACAGTCTACGAATCATTCTGAACTTTGTGGTGTAAGTGGCAATGGTGCTGTCCTGGGCTTCCTGCTGGCTAGTTGAGGTGGGGTGTGTGCTGGTGCCAATACCTCTTACTGTCTCTGGATTCATGACGTATTCAGCGAGCCTGGCTCCGGATGGAAGGCCTGGTTGCAGTCAGCACTCTGAGTCTGCCTGATCACCGTATTAAGAGTCACTGCTCTGGTCACACACCTCGTTGTCTATGACAAACAAAATGCATTTGTTCAAGCCCTAATCTGTATAATGAATTAGGGTATCTGATGGCTCAGGTTCCTGAGAATTCTTAGTAGGACACATGAGCATCAAGGGTTGGAGTTGTAGGGGAATGACTTTGCCATGGCAACCTTGTATATATCTACACGCTCTGCAAAGGTGAAGGCTTGAACCACAGCGAATCTGAGTCTTGGCAGAACACTTCTTGATCCCCACCAGAACAGAAGGCATGCTCTGAGGCCCTTGTCTCCCTTGAGAGGCTGTGATGAGACAGTTTCCTATCTCCTCCCTAGTTCTGGGGAGGTGTGGGGCTTTCTGCCTTGTGCCTCTCAGAATACAGCTGCACATAGCTGCAGTCTCGAATTGGCTCAACAGCAACAGGGCGTCCCACGACTTGCCCTGTAGTTATCGAATCCCTTTCGTGTTGTTCCTTTTGTTGTGTGAGACAAGAACCACAGGGAGCTGGCACTTTTGCCTAATCTTCCTTTCTCTGTCTACGTGAGTAATAAACTATCAGTCTGAAGTGGCTCGATTGGCTCCGTCAGACCTTGGCCTTAGTTTTCTCTTGTGTGTGCTTGACAGAAGGCTGCATACTGGGCATACTGGGGGTCTGTCGTGGTTACTGCGAGGCCTCTGGGCCGGGAGAGCTGTACATTGTAATGCTGGTGCTGTGCCTGTGTGACGGGAATGATATAAAAGACCAGTGGAAACGTGAAGCAGTGGCTCCCTGTGGCAAGGGGAACCGCACACACCTTGACCACATTCCTGGCGGTTGTTTGCACCCCTCCTTGCCCCTTGTGGGTGGAAGTGGGGTTCAGGGAGGAATCAGAATCTGCATTCTAAGTAATTGCTGGGACTCCTGAGGGGAGTGTAGCTTGTTTTCCGACCTGCATATTCTACAGAGCAAAGGAAACTTAGTGCTAGGTTGAAGTCTGTTGTGCCTTGAGTTTGCTGTGTAGCCTACTCTCTCAGTGGAGGAACAGACCTGAATCTTCAGACGAAGGTTGAAATAAGTTTCCAAATAGATCAGTAATCACAATAAGTTCAATGAGCTAAACGTGCTCATTAGAAAGCAGTTGGACAGATTACATTAAATAGACCTAGATAATGTTTGTAAGAGATATATCTAAAACAAAGTAACACAGGAAGTTTGAAAACAAAAGGGTAGAAAAAAGATGTATCAGGCAAATTTCCAATCAAAGAAAACTATCACAACAAGATATAATTTAAACCTTAAAAGGAACGAAGGAGTCCACAAGCTGTGGCCTGCGGGCCAGTTGAACCCACTGTCTTTTTTTAGAAATAACATCTTATTGCAACACAGTCACTCCTTTTTGTTTACATGTAGTCTGTACATTGCTGTTGAGGTACAATGGCAGGGTTGAGTGTTGCAGAAAGTCCAGGAAACCGGAGAGACCAATGGGTGAAGCAGGAGGATTGTATTAAGGTGGCCACCGGCTCAGCGGATTTGCATCCCAAGGCTGAGCAAAGGAGAAAGAAAATAGGGTACTTTTTATGCGTCCAGGATGACATAGCAGCTAACAGGTTTACAGAAGCTAGAACAGAGAACAGTTAATTAATTTCTAACATATCTTGTGATGAACATTACATTTGAAAAATAGCATTTTGAGAAACACATTGTACATTCTTTGGGTGTTATCTTGCCCTGTGACCTTGCAGCTGGTCAGCAAGAAAAACAGGAGTCTTGAGATGCCTGGGAACCTTGCTGAGAATGTGGGGAGAATAGACAAGGTGGGTTTCACAGGGAGTTAGTTAATTTTAAGCAGAGCTGGGGGTTAGGTTTTATATTGAACACAACACAGTCAACTTAATTTTATTAGTAGCAATTACAGACTACCATTGTGATTATTTAATTTCCCTCTTCAGAGTAGTTGTGACAGATACTGAATGGTTGTCAAAGCCTAAACTATTTACTACCTGGCTGTTTATAGAAAAACTTTGCCAACTCCAGTTGTAAACCAATGACAGGAACACTATTCTAAGATGCTATAATATTTGGGAATTTGTGTGTACACAGCATAACTTCAAAATATAAAAATAAAAAGGCTGATAGAATTAAAAAGTAGATAATTCTACATTTATACCTGTTTCAGACACTCATGGATCAAGGGGACAGAAATATGACAATAGGATATTTGAAAAATTCAGTACACACACACACGTACGTACATTTGAATGTGGAAAATCGAGGCAATTGGGCAGAGAGTGGCAGAGCTTAGGATCATATGCGTTGATGCATGAGGGGTCATGACCAGCCAAAAGTATGAAGCCACCAATGTTATAAGGCAGAGAAAACAAAGACAATAGCAATCATGAAGAAATGGTAACAAGAACACTTAGAGCATAAAAACATCGGCCTAAACTGGAGAGCCCAGCCCAGAGTGAATGGCACTGAAGTCCTGAGGAAGTCCCACAGCTACCTTGCATTCCATTCAAGTCTTTGAGATGCTCCATTTTACGACTTTTTCATTTGTTTGTTTGAGACAGCATATCGCTCTGTCACCCAGACTGGAGTACAGTGGGTCAGTCTCGGCTCATTACAGCCTCCGCCTCCCGGTTCAAGCAATTCTCCTGCCTCACCCCCCTGAGTAGCTGGGATTACAGGTGTGCGTTGCCATGCCCAGCTAATTTTTGTGTTTTTAGTAGAGGTAGGGTTTTGCCATGTTGGTCAGGCTGATCTCAAACTCCTGACCTTAAATGATCCACCTGCCTTGGCCTCCCAAAGTGCTGGGATTACAGGTGTGAGCCACCGTGCCCCACCCATTTTATGACTTTTTAAATTTTTTTTGAGATGGAGTCTTGCTCTGTTCCCCAGGCTGGAGTACAGTGGAGTGATCTTGGCTCACTGCAAACCCCGCCTCCCAGGTTCAAGCAATTCTCTGCCTCAGCCTCCCAAGTGGCTGGGATTATAGGCTCCTGCCACCACGCCCGGCTAATTTTTGTATTTTTAGTAGAGGCGGGGTTTCACCATTTTGGCCAGGCTGGTCTTGAACTGTTGACCTCGTGATCTATCTGCTTCGGCCTCCCAACCATTTTATGACTTTTTAAGCCTGCATCTGCCCAACACTCTTCTTTGTATTGATCTTGTATTGGCCGTCCATCACGTGAGCTAGTTCAAGAGAAGCCATCCTTCTTGTAACAAAGGGAAATAAAATGAAATCTTCTTTTGACTCTCTTGCCACAGCTATGACGCAGTGCCATGGTGGACACATAGATGGGTGGGTAAAGTCCATGAGAACCTGGTCTGCCAGGAAGTCCTAGTGGGACTTGTCCCTCCACCTGGTGCTGGCTGTCACAGCTAATCTTGAGGTTTCTGGCATCCATTGGAAGGAAATAGAGGCATCAGCCCTGATATATTAAAATAAGCGTGAGAATACCTGGGTTCCCTATACTGTGTCATGTGTAGTAAGGAACAAGGGGTTGGGAATCAGTGCTATATGAAAACTATAAACTTTGTTACCATACCACTTTTTTTTTCATTCCCCATGTATGAAACCTTTAAAAGAAAGAGGAATAGTGTGCCTCCCTGGGAGGCATTGAGGAGAGCTGGAGAGCATCTAGATTTGACATGAGGGAAATCCTCAAGTGCACACAGGACATAAAAGAAAACAGACCCAAAGACAAAAGATCAGGGCCAACGGAAACATGTCCAGGGCCAGCTAGGGCCTGAGAAGAGGGTACAGAGAGGGCCCTCAAGGAGCAGTGTGGCCTTGGTCCTTCTTTTCTTTTTTCTTTTTTTTTTTTTTGAGATGGTCTCACTCTGTCTCTCAGGCTGGAATGTAGTGATGCAATCTTGGTTCACTGTAATCTCTGCCTCCTGGGCGCAAGCAATCCTCCCACCTCAGCCTCCTGAGTAGCTGGGATTACAGAGTGTGCCACCATGCTCTGGCTAATTTTAAAATTTTTTGTAGATATGAGATCTCGCCGTGTTGCCCAGGCTGATTTTGAATACCTGGGCTCAAACGATCCACCTGCCTTGGCGTCCCAAAGTGCTGGGATTATAAGCATGAGCTACCAACCCCAGCCTCTATCATCTTAAAAAACTACATCAGGAAAGAACTGTGCACAGACCACACAGAAGGAGAACCTGGTGAGTGATGGGATTCAGATTTCATGTATTTTTACTTACACCCCATCCTATCTTTGACAGGAGGGAAACAGACAAGTGTTTCATTCCTGTCCATAGAACCTCTCCCTGAAGAAGACCCAGCTATATGGTCAGCATCCTAATCCCTGGGCTGTAGTCACTTTCGATCTCATAATTTTTCATCACCTTTACCCATGCCTGGTGACTGAACCATCTAGAAACAAGCTTTGGGCTATAGGAAGCATAACCATATCCACCCAATCAGCAGAAGTATCCCGTGACTATCCCGGCATGAGAGGGACCCTGGAAATTCTTAGACTCTGAGACTGATTAGGCAGCTTGGGTTGTGGATGTCATTGTTCTAAGCCAAAAGGAGAAAGAATTATATCTTATGCACATCTATATCTTTCTCTATAAAATCACTACAAAAATGAATAGGCAACTATAATTGAGACCCAAAAAGTTGAAGAAATATTTTAAGGGAAGCAGAAGGTAAGTAGGTGTTCCATACAAATAAAAGACACCCAGATTATTACTATCAGAAACTTAAGTGTCCTAAGGATGCTGAGCTGTGCCTCCTGTGTGGATCCAGAACCCAAAAATAAAAAGGATCACCCTGATCAGTAAGCATTGCATCTTGTTCCTCATCTTCTTGAGTAGTGGTAGAGGGAGTGGGAGGGGTGGTGAGAAGGCAGCGGGAAAGCCAAGGAGCTGAAATTTTGGGCAGAATTTTTGACAGTTTCTGTGTGAGGAGGCCCCGAAGTTGGCGACCAGGCCTGCTAAGGTTGGGGACACACTAGTAAATCCCCAGTGTTTAAGGGTGGAAGTCAAGAGGGCTATATCATACCAGGAGAAAGGTGGATTTAAATTAGGCCAGCATTTCCCATGGTGGAAGCCCTGTTTCACATCCTAATCTCTGAAACTGGATTAAAGTGATCTATTATTGCTAATGCTCCAGCCATGTACCAGAAGCAAATGTAAATCATCTGGGAAGGAAGGTAGCATAATCCCAGACCTCAACTTATTTTGAAAATTTTTCTTATACAACCATCCAGCACTCCATAAAAAAAACCCCAAACTTAAAAATGAAACAAACAACCTCCACCCAAAACACTTGAAAACAAGAGAAATAATTGACAATAAAAACAGACTCATAGAGGATCCAGGTCATGTAGTTATACACATTTTAAAAATTGTAAGCACATTATGCCCTCGTGTGTTAAAGAAAATCGAAGGCAAAATGAGGACTCAGCAGAAAATTGAAATCTTTCAGAAAATATCCTATGGGAATTTTAGAACAGAAAAACACAATAACTCAATTAAAAACTCAATGGATGAGTTTCAGCAGATTAGACAAAGAGAGAATTACTAAACTGGAAGATAGATTAGGAGAAAATATATAGAATAAAGCACAGAGGGACATAAGGATGGAATTACAAGAAAGAATAAGAGACACAGGATACAATGAAAAGGACAAACACATCTCATTAGAATCTCATCCCAGAAGAAAAGGAGTAAGAATGAAGCAAAAGCCATATTTAAAGAGAGAATAGCTGAGAAATTTTCAAAACTTAGAAAAGATATAAAACTACAGATTCAAGAAGCCCTATAAATCCCAAGCAGAAAAAAACAAAACAAAACAAAACCCTCTCACACATATTGACACATAACTGGTGAAAGCCAAAAACTGTTTTATCAAAATTGACCATATACTGAGTCTTAAAGGAAGCCTCGAGAAGTTTCAAAAAATGTAAATCATGTAGATTATGTTCTCAAAATGATAAAGAACAAGATTACTTCAAAGAAGCAAGAGTTAGACTAATAGTTGACTTTTTAACAAAAGCAATGGAAGCAAGAAGACCCTGAAATTACATCGTCCAAGTACTGAAAGCAATAAATAATTACTGAATGGCTAGGCGCAGTGGCTCACGCCTGTAATCCCAGCACTTTGGGAGGCTGTGGCGGGTGGATCATAAGGTCAAGAGATCAAGACCATCCTGGCCAACATGGTGAAACCCCCCATCTCTACTAAAAATACAAAAATTAGCTGGGCATGGTGGCACACACCTGTAGTCCCAGCTACTTGGGAGGCTGAGGCAGGAGAATCACTTGAACCCGGGAGGCAGAGGTTGCACTGAGCCAGGACCGTGACACACTGCACTACAGCCTGGTGACAGAACAAGACTGTCTCCAAAACAAAACAAAATAAAAACAAACAAACAAACAAAACAAAAAAGCTGCTGACCTACCTGTTGAAATCATCCTTCAATGATTAGGGTGAAATACAGGACTTTTTTAAACAAAAGTTGAGAAAATTAATCACACTTAAAGAAATACAAAAGGGTATTCTTCAGAGCCTAAATGGCAGACAGATTCAGAATCAATGCAAATAGTAAATATTTGGAAAAATTCTAATGAATATGCCACATTAAGCAATAATTATATAATTTGGGAAGAGGACTAAATAAAATAAAAATGTTCTGAGCTTCTTGAATGTCTGAGAAGAGTTACGGTCAAAGTACTGTATTTGTGTTAGACTTTGATAAGTTAAGGATGCAGATTGTATTACAAGGCTGCTTTGTTAACTATGGTAGCCCCTAGCCACATGTGGCTATTGGCACTTAGAAATGTGACTAGTCCTACTTCAGATGTGCTGTACATGTGAAATATACATCAGATCTCAAAGACATAGTGCAAGAAAAGAAAAAAGGAAAATGAAAGAAAGGAAAATGGTACCATCACTAATGTTATATTGATTACATGTTGAAATGATATTTTTTGATAGGTTGAATTAAATAAAATGTATTATTAAAATTAAGTTCACCTGTTTCTTTTCCTTTTTTATTGTGGATATTAGAAAATTAAAAATTACATATATGTCTCTCAGATTACATATATTATTGTATTTGCAAACATTCATTATATTTCTATTGGGCAGTGCTGGTCTGAGGTAATCACTGAGTAAATAGTAAAAAAAAAAAATAGTGTTTAACTTCCAAGTTAATGAGGTTGAGGGTAGTGGGGGAAATGGAATAATAAAAAAAAAAATCAAGTCAAAAGAAGGAAAGAAAGGAGAGAGAGAGAGAGGAAAGAAAACATAACAGATGAAGCGAATGGGAAGCAAATAGTAAGACCGTAAATTGAAACATACATATACCAATAATTACATTAAACATCAATGGACAAAGGGCTCTGACTGGAAGATAAAGATTGTCAGACCGGATTTCAAGCAAAAGAGCATGCTGCTTATAAGAGGAATCTCTGAAATACAAAGATTTAGAAAGACTGAAAGTAAAAAGGTGGAGAATTATAAACCAGGCAAACACACCAAAGAAACTCAGTCTAATTAATGACACCATACAAAGCATATTTTAAGGCAAAATCATCTAGAAATAAAGATGCCCATTTCACAGTGATAAATATTCACCCACAGGTTGATATACTAATTCTAAATTTGTGTGCACCTAATAAGATAGGTTTAAAATATGTAAATCAAGAATTGACAGACTCGCAATGAGAAATGTGCACACTTACAATGTAGTGGGCCTTTCTAACATACTTCTTTCAGTGTCTGATAGAATAAGAAGAAAAGTAATTAGTAAGTAAGGATAGTGAATATTTAAACAATACAATTAACAACAATGACTTGATCAGCATATATAGAACACTGCACCCTACTGCTGTGCTTGAATCATTATTTTCAAACGCATATTGAATATTTACCAAAATTGACAATATTCTGAGCCTTAAAGCAAGCCTCAACAAATTTTTAAAAATGTAAATCATATAGATTTATGTTCTTTGAGCACAGTTGAAATAAGCCAGAAATCAATAATAATGAAAACAACTAGAAATTTTCCAAATTTCTAGAAATTAACCAACATACCTCTTTACAACTCAGAAGTCAAAGAAGACATCAAAATAGTAATTAGAAGTTACTTTAACTGAAGATATTTTAAACCAAATGATAAAAAATACTAAATATTCAAAACTATAGGAAGCAGCTAAAGCTTGCTTAGAGGGAAACTTATTATTTCAAATGTATGCATTAGGAAAGGTAGAAAACCAATGAGCTAATTACTTATCTTAAAATTACAAAAGCAATTTAAAACCAGTAAGAGTAGAAAGAGAAAAATAATAGAGAGAAGGAAATAATGAAAAAGGAATTAAAGATCAAGAAAAATAATAAAGTCCAAGAAATCGAAAAGCTATTAGTATCATGAACAATGTTCCTCAGACGGACGTGGTATTCTCCTGTTCATCATCTGCTTTCTCCTAGACCCTGCACCTGTGAGGAGAAAAGGACAGATGCGTCTCTCTTTCAGATGAGGATGTAGGTACTTGTGGTCATCATCTGCAAGAAGCAGGACACAAATCAAAACCTCCAGATTTATATTGGCACCTGCCCGTTTCTCTGGAACTACCCAAGGAAGGGTCGATTGTTAAAAGAGAACCGGTGTCCCTTCTTGGCAGACACTGGGGCTGAGGTGTAGGTAGTTTTATTTCTCTAAGTACCTATGCTTTCTAAATACTAAAGAACACACAGCAGAACAAAGCAACTGTGAAGATTTTGCTCAAGTACGATGCACTGTTGTATGCTGTGCTCTTAACTGTGATCATTTAGTACTGGTTGAGGCCAAGACTGGCAAGGCTGCTGGATCAGAAATGGCTGGCATCTTGGAGGTGGAGGTGGAGGTGGGGATTCTATATAAACCAGGTGGTCAGGCTGCAGTTTCGCTTTGCATGTGGTATATCCACCCACACCTCTGCCAAGTGCTGTGGTGAATGATCCAGGCCCATTATTGATAGAAAATCTTCCAGACCCACAGCCTTTTCCAGGAACAATATGAAATCACTTCCAATCAGCTGCGTTCCACACTGAAATCTTGGTGTGAAGAGTCCTTGTGAGGAAAACTGACTCCATTTTCTAATAAAGATCTGGTCTGTGTTTTTGTGTCTCACAGACTCCTTAAGTCTTCAGACTCCAGGGACTTCCATTCCAG